TGCAGCCTTGGTGAGCAGAGCCAATTCTTAGGTTGCTATCGGGAAACATTCAAAATAGCTGTGCCCTCAGGATTGCTGGCAGTCTGCAGCTTCATTTGTCTCCTTACTCACTGTTTCATTCAGAATCTCAAGTCAGGTATTTAACTTCATTTGGGTATTTAATCCACTTTTTTATCCTTCCCTTCAAAACTCAAGGTTCCAGGATTGTTTTCTATACTGGTTTCAGTTGGTTTCTCATTGCTTTGTTGCAGAGGGTCTGTGTAGCTTGTCTGTCTATTCTGCCATCTTGCCAGAACTCCATCATGTGTATTTTAACGTGATTGATAGGGATGCTTGGAACCTCAACTCCTGTTTTTAGTGACTGGGTTTTTACGCTGAAGGAAGGTTGGACAATCTACTTCCGTAGTGATTCTGCCTCGGAAACCCAATGAGGGGTTGCTATGCGTTGGGTCTGATTCCGTGGCAGTGAGTTAGGTTTTTTGGGTTTTTACATTCCCCTCTGGTAACATAGTGCCTAAGACATTTGACTGCTAACCAGAAGGCTGGCAGTTCAAACCCACCAGTTACTCCACAGAAGAAAGATTGGGCAATCTACTGTAGTGATACTGCTTCAGAAACCCAAAGTGGAATTGCTATGAGTCAGATTCGACTTGACAACAGAGAGTTTGGTTTTAGTTTTTGGTCTGTGAGCATAAAGTAATAGTTGAGCATCATCTGGGTCCCTGGGAAATTTCCCTTCTACAAGGATTTTTATCTCCAGGAGCCAGAGCCAATGTGTCTGTCTACGGTTGTCCCAACTCCTGTTCCAGAAGCTCTGTCATCATTTAGTCTTACCCTATAGTGTACAAGGCAGGCTCGTCTTCCTGTGCCTGGAGAGCCTCTAACTGCTTCCTGTCATTAGCAGACAGCCTTGATTATGTGCTTGCCCTCAGGAGCCCACGGTGGTAGCTGACCCCTTCCCCTGGGTATCCTTGTCTCTCTGGGCTTCCTGTGTGTGTGTGTATGTGTGTGTTTGTTTGTGTGTGTGTGTGTGTGTGTGTTGTGTATATGTAGGGCCCTGGTGGATAGGCCTCTTGACAACTGCTGAAGTTCTTTCCTTCACTCCAGAACTGAATTAGGTACCTAACGCAAAAAATGCAACCACTGCCTTGGAGTTGGATCCAAGTCTTAGCAACCCTTCCTTGGGTTTCTGAGACAGTATCACTACGGAAATAGATTGCCCAACCTTCCTCCAAGGAGGGGTTGCTATCAGTTGGGCTGGTGGGTTTGAACTTCCAGCCTTCTGGTTAGTAGTCAAGTGCCTTAGGCACTACGCTACCAGAGCTCCTGAATTAGGTACCTAGCCTCTTCCATTTCTTGCCTGCTTCTGACCTCTATGGCAAGGTACCCATCTCAGATAGAAGCTGTACTCTGGTTTGGTGGTCTAGAACTTCCATTTGAGAGAGATGGGAAATGGGAGTAAATGAGTAAGCATGTTTATGCCTGGTGCTGGATACAGGCAGGGTGGGTAAATTGTTTTTGGCATGCCATGCTAGAATTGGCCCAGTTGCATGGTCTTCACCCAGAAGTAGAGCTAACCCTGAACTGACTCCAAATATTCAATGAGGCAACTCTTTTTTTCTTTTTTTCTCCCCACATGGGGTCACCATGAGTCAGAATCCTCTCCATGGCAATGGGTCTGGTTTTTAGTTTTTTTTTTCTTTTTCTTTTTTTAAATTTTATTGTGATTTGGGTGAAAGTTTACAGAGCAAATTCATTTTCCATACAGCAGTT